AAATGCTCATGAGGTAAAACGTTGTGAACATGTAAGACACACAAACAGCAATGACACAGCCAACCTTCGAATTGAAGTCCCCGACAATTAAGGAAGCGTGGCTGGACTTTGCCACACTGTTCGATGCATCCGATGTGTTCACGAACCTGTGAGCTTGTTGAATCTGTTGCACCGTATCCCAAAACCTCCACGGAGGAGTTGAACCAGTGATGCCATAAGAGGTGCCCAAGAGGTGTCCCAGAGGCAAAACAAAGCTGCTTGCATGATTTGTTTGGTTTCTTCTATCGATGTCGATGTCATGAACATGTGAGCTTGTTGAATCTGTTGCACCGTATCCCGGAGGAGTTAAGCCAAAGTGGATGCCATAGGAGATGCCCGAGAGGTGTCCCAGAGGCGTCCGAGGGGGGAGTTGAACCCACGGGGGGGGGGGGCCCCCCCCTACATATGAAGTTTTCACGTGATGCGGCGATCCCGAGGATTCCAGCCCCTCACTTGCTAAAGCAAGGACAACTCCAGCTAGCTGGTGCTAGCTTTCGTGATCAATCAAGAGTCTACATTACAAGTGTTCGCATGGGAACCTCTACCTCTTCCGGACCGACTGGCACTCCTCAAAACATGTACCGCCTGCACCGCTTGCCAGAATTCGTGACCTACGGCGCCTGGTGAAAATATGTGAAATCCCTGTCATTGATTACCCTCCCACAAAACAAAAATGCGCATATCACATATATTCGTACAAAAATGATGCATTTATATTGAGTAATAAAAATAACAATAATAATAAGTAATAATATATAAATAATATAATATGCTGTATAGTGTGTGTGTGTGTGTAACCCTTGGAATCATAGGGATCCTTTCGGATTGTTTTAGCTTCACTGTTGTTTTCCTTGTGTAGCAGGGGCGTGTGGCACTCTCGTCCTACCACACGCAACGAAGCTGTGGGCGAGAGTGGGAAGGGAAACTTGGCCAGTTTCCTGTACCTGCTGTGATCATTACTCCAATCTGAGGGCCCTGCTTGTACCTAAAACAAGAAATCCTGCCTTTGCACCGGTTTGCTCTCGGCAGTCACGCATAGGGCTTTGGTTTCGGACGACGTCACTCTGTCGCTCGGTCGTTCGACGGTTCCTTTAGAGTTGATGGCCACGCTGAACTTGATGGACCTCCACTTCCTTTTCAGGTTTCCTTACCTGTACTCTTAGGAATTGGTAACCTAGGCCGGCGTGTGGCACCGCTTTCAGTTCAGTACACCCTATCCTAAGTGTGTTTGGCCTCGTGCCAACCCGGGATGAGCCCGCAGAGTGCCTCCCGTGGACCCGTTGAACGGGTGTACGTCGTTATCTCCCCTGCCCGGAGATGTACGTGTCCGCAGCGGACAGTAGCTGGCTCATGCCACCAGAACTCCGATTTTGTCTCATTTTAGGAATTCCAAGCTGGCTTATGCCTTTACGTGACCGCAGCGGTCAAAGCAGCCAGCCGCTTCGGCAGGGCACAAGGTGACCACAGCGGTCAAAGTAATTTTGAGGTTCATTGGAGCCTGTTGGGACCTTAGCCCCTTTCTCCCCCTTCCCTTCCCCCGTTCTTTCTTTGCTTCCTGGTGTTTTCCTGAATGCAACACTCAGGATCACCCCTCTCTTTCTTTGGTGTGTCCCTGGACGCTTGTTCGTAGCTGGGAACACCTGCCTTTTTCTTCCCTCCTTGGGTGTCCCTGGATGCTTTTGTCATAGCTGGGAACCTT